GGCCGTCTGTTTCTTTCTTGGCTACCCACAGTACATTCATTGTTTTATTCCCAAGCCCCTGATAATGCTGTTCCAGACGTGTCTGCTTGATGTCATCTGACAGGACTAAGCTTCCCTGAGCCGGAGGACCAACAGCTTCTCCACAAAACCCCAGCTGGCCATTCTCTACCTTCTTCTGCCCTTAGATCAGCGCTGGACTTAACCTCCGTATCCCTCTCTTCCCCCCCCCCGCCCCTATTTTTGGACAGAAGGTCTCATTAGTCCAGGCTGACCTCAAACTTGGTTGTAGCTAAGGCTGGCCTCTGCCTCCCAAGTGCTGGGATCACAGATATGTATCATATGAGTGAATTTTATTTTAGAAGGGTCTTGCTATGTAGTCCAGGCTGGCCTCAAACCCAAGCCAAGCCTCTCTGAGGACTGGGGTTATAAATGTAACCATCACACCAATCATTAGTTTATTATTTTTAGTACTGCAGTAACTCTTGTTTAAAGTAAAGAAATAGGCTGCTCCATAAGTGAATTTTCAGAACAATGTGTGTGAAGCACTAAAACTGTAAACAACCAAAATCAGCTTTATTGACGTGTGACATACTATAGAATATAAAGATGTGGTACAGTATACAACTTAGTATGTTTTGACACATGAAAATATCACCACAATCAAGATAAGGAACATGTCCATCATGACTACGGCTTCCTCCCACCCCTCCCTGCTCACTTCCCCAGGCAACCAGAGATCTGCTTTCTAAATAAATGCATGTCTGGTTCCATGATGTCTCACTTTCCCCACTTTAGTCAACAGAGTGTGAGCTTTGCTTCACCTTGTTATTAACACTATGAAAGTGATGTCCTCAGATGTCATAAGCACGTGAAACATCCTTGGCTCTGAACGCTAAATGGCCCACTGTCCTATGGCCATACACAGTGGCTTGGCGCTTGGGAGCCATCTGGGCGTAGGGCTCCTGGCTGACAACTCCTAATGCCTCCAGACTGGCACATCCAGCTCCACCTTGTGAACTTCCCATTGCTTGCTGTGGATCGGTGTTCTCCCCGGGGAGTGAGTTCTGTCGCTGCAAGGGGTTTGACAAAGTCTAGCAACCTGGGGGAGGGTGGGGACGTCTGTGGGAGTGGCATCTGGTATGGAGCCCAGAGGTGGCCAGTGTTCTTTAGTGCCCAGACAGTGCACACCATGGGGCCTGGCTGACCCAAGGCATTTACAGTGTTGAAGTAGAGAAACTGTGCAAGGCCACAACGGGAAAACTCAGCCTCAAGTGATGGTAACCGGATGGGAGGGTGAAGGAAGAACAGCCGGCTGGGTGGAGTAGCCAGGTCACAAAGGTAAAAAGTGAAGGATCCTGCCTGGTCTCAGGTAAGAGGCAACTCTGGCCTCATAAGGACAAGCCCTAAGCTACATGTGCCGAGGCACCAGGGCCCAGCACCCAGCAGGTATTCAGCGGGTGCCTGGCAAACAGGGCTGCACCCCAAAGCATTTATTAGGTGCCTAATTGTGGGCAGCACTCGTTGGCACAGAAGGTGAGGCTGAAGACATACAGCTGGCCAGAGGAAGCCATTAAACCATCAAGTGACTGGGGTGCAGAAGAGCCCGAGGTAAAAGGTAAGTGCAGACCCACCCCAATAAACGAGAAAATGAGAAGGGCTAGTCAGATTGGGATCCAGTTCCAACGTGACCAGATATGTCACCATCAAATCACTTGTAGCTTGGAAGCTCCTCCCCCCACCTACAGACACCAGTTGGCCTGTCTTATAAAGGGTTTTTTCCCAAAGTGGTTTAGCCAGAACCGGAAAGTTACTGCCTGCTGTGACAAGAGGCTCACTGAGGAGGCACGCGCAGCCAACAGGCAAGTAGAGGCAGCGGAGATGGATCTTGGTTTCTCTGGACTCGCTGGTGACGTATGAGCACGCTTTATTTGGTTTTGCATGGCTTGGAGCTTTCATTATTGTATTATAGGAGCTATGGAGACATTCCTGAGCATTTACATAAGAAAAAAGAAAGCAGAACGCTCTCCCATCCCTTTACACACGCGAACAGGCTATGTGTGTGTTAAGGTGATTTAAACCAAGGGCGGATGCTCCTGAAGGCTTCTGGGTGCCTCGGGCTGGGGAGAAGTTTGAAAAAAAAAAAAAAGAGACTACCACAGCTTCCCAAGGGGACAAGTGGACTGGCTGGATTTCAGCACTAAAGCTCTCAATGGTTAGGTATGAATCAGCCCCAGATCTAAGGATAAAGAGACCTGGCTGGCCCTGCTTCCCCCCATCCCCATCCAGATGGCCCTGCTTCTCCTCCTCTAGACTCCAGTCACTTTGAGTGCTAAGGGTTCTATAGAACTGCTGCCAGAGAGGACTCACCTCAGGAACTGAGTGCTAAATGAGGCAGCTGAACTTCCTGGATGCTTAGGCTTCAGGTCAATGCTAAGAATGATAAAGAATCCAATACCTGCCTGCGGGACTTGTTCCAGAGAGGAAAGAGAGTCTCCCTCTAACCAGTATGAGAAAGGCTTTCAGATTCTTGTCAGCAGAACTATTGCAAATGCAATCTATGTGACCTTCCAAATGGGAAAGGGACAAAGTGCCAGCAGCTGTGGGTTAGGAGGGCAGCTGCCCACCTGCTTGGGTTCCCCCCACACCCGTCTCCCTCGCTGAGGCACCACTCAGAGGCACTGTCTAGATTCTGCTCCCTGTTCAAGGCATCACCAACGGGGAGGGTTGGCAAGAGGAAATGGTTGTGCTCCCGGGCAGCCTTGCTAGTTTTTCCCCTCCAAAGACCCACAGAGACTCGTCTTGGCCAGCCTCCAAGGAAGGGTGAAACCACAGGGCCTTTCATTCTCGGGTAACCTTCCTTTTAGGTCACAGGACAACTGGGAGGCGAGGCGCATGGGGGACTCCCTTGTTAGATAGAGCCAACCCTGTCCCTAATTCCCCTAAATGGGTGCTGTTGCTCAGAGCCCGAGGAAAAACTCTGATTCACTTCCTGACTCAGTCTCACCGCAAGAGTATTGTTCTCCCAACTGTGTACGGCGTGGCGCGTCTAGGGCCTACCCCGTAGTGGTCCCCATAGGTCCTGGCTCCTTCTAAGGGAAAGTCCCCAATCTGAGAAAGACTTACAGGCTTATTTTCAACTTTTAGGGACCCCACGTCTGCAGTGTTTTTAAGGAAGCTCAAATAATGACAGATTCGATTAAGTCCAAACACATTCCCATTTTCAGCGGGGTAAATTGAGCCTCTGAGAATTTACGGTTGGCACAGGGATTTGAAGCCAACTTTGCTGGATGACTTTCCACGTCAATGACTTTAGGAATATATATGTATATCCCTAAGGGTGTGTGTATATGTGTGTGCTTATTTTGGGGTTCTGAGACAAAGTCTTGATATGTAGTCTTGGCTGGCCTTAACACTTGTGGCCATTCTCCTGCCTCAGCCTCCCAGTTCTGGGAGTATAGGCAGTTGCTACCACTCCTGGATCCTTAGTCTAGTTAACCTCCCTGGGATAAATTCCATCCTCCGAAAAAAACACAACCCATGGATACAGGAAAGGTACCTAGGTATGGAGGAGCGACCTTTCTGGGGTTTGCGGGGCAAGAGTTAACATTCGCAGCCAGCCGAGGATGGAGCCTAGCTCCTAGTAGCCCTTGTTTTGGAAACCATGTTAAAGACACACAAGGGAAGGAAGGGGTAGGGTTATATACCGAGATTATCTCTCAGAGAGCAAGGAGGGATGTGCCGTTGGCCACCTTGGAGCAACCCAGCCTGGGAAGATCTTGGCCTGTTTCCCCTCTTCTTTCTCAGCTCAAGCAGAATGTTGACCTCAGCCAAGTAGCACAGCCGTTTTCTAGGGCAGGAACCCAGGGAGGGAAGAGCTCCGGCTGGTATATTGTAAGTAGCTCGGAGGGACACGCTGCCAAATCTGAGGCCTGCTAAAATTGTGTCATTTAAGGAAAATTATTTAAACTTTGTGTGCCTCAGTTTCCTTATCTGTTAAGTGGGATTAATAATGTCAGCCTGAACGGATTATGTGGATTAGAGTATGTACATAAGGAGAAGATAGTGGGAACTCATTGGCCTGGTGCCTGGCTCTCTGTTGTTGTGGGGCGGGGGTGGGGTGGGGTGGGAGGGGGAAGGTATATATTAAAAAAAAAAAAAAAAAAAAAGAGAGACCAAACAAAAAAGGGGGTGGGCTATTTCTGTTTGCCCACCTGTCTCTACAGAAGCAAATAAAACTGTGACTCCTCTAGGAGGAGGCTCAAGGGCTGCCCTGCCGCTGTGAGGTCCGACCTGGGAGTGGAGTTACCACAGGTCGGCCATCCCAGGGCGCCTCCCGCGACTCTCCCCAAACTCGGGGCTTGGGAGCGGGGGCCGCGGGAGAGCCAGGGCCGGCCTGGGCTCCCCGCGGCTCCCGGCCCTTCCCTCGCCCCGTCGCCCGCGGGCTCCCAGACAGTGTGCCCCGGGAGTTCGCGGGGCCGGGAGCCGAACCCGGCGCGGACGGAGGGGCCTGGAGGTGGCGCGCAGGG